GCTTCAGGTGCTGGGCTACGGCGTGGCGCAGCCCTGCGCGCCACCCCGCTCCGGCACCACCTGGGGCCAGACCTGAGGTGAGCGCTGTCCTGGCAAGTGGTTCATCCTTTGGCAGGTCGCCGTTGTTACCCCAGCAGGTCCGCCCCTGCCGCCTCGGTTGACGCTCGCATCTTTGTGCCCCCGCCCCCCGTGACGGATAAGCTGCCCGCCTTGTGCGCCGACGACTTGGTTGTCTCGCTTCCCACGGCGGGCGCCGCCTTCGAGCTCTTGCTACTGCACAAGTGGTATATCCTTTGGCAGTGCTTCTCGGCCCTCCCGCAGGGTGGTCCGTGGTGCTCGACCAGTGCTTGCAGCTGTATCCCCCCGGCTTTCAGAGCCAGGCAGTTGCAGGTTGTGGACCCGGAAGACAGGGCCGCCGTTTCCTTGCATAGGTCGGTCGCTCATGCCCGAGTACTTCCATGAGTCTATGTGAGTGAGGCGATCCTCGGTTCCCCCCCTCTCCTGTCCTCGCGTGCCCTCGCGCCCGCCGCCTTTCCCCGTCCCTTCGCCTCCTCGTCGCGTTGGACGGCGCGGCCTCAGTGGCCCCTCCGTGCCGCCGCAGCGCGGTGTGACCCGCGCCCTTGCGCGTTGTTCGGTACGGACTGAGCTGGCGCCACTGTGCGACTTCTCCCCCGTCAGTTTCCTTATGATGCCTGCGTCCCCGCTTCCGGGTCGCCTGCGTCTTAATGGGGGGCATTTTGTCCTTGGCACGTGCACTCGCTGCGTCGGCCTATGCGCCGTCGCCGCTAATCATCTCGCCCTGTGCCCCAGCCGAGACCGTCCCGCTTCGTGGATCTGTCCTTGGAGCCGCCAATCAAAAAAGCGCACCCCCACCAGCCCATCCAGAAACGATGTCCAGGCAAGTTGAAGAGATCAGGGAAGTGGGGGAGCAACGAGAGGGACAGCCCATCCGTGCAAAGGATGAGGCGGAAGAGGAGGCCAGATGGATATATGAGGGGGTGGCGAGGAACCGAGCGAAGGAGGGATGAGGAGAATGATGACGCTGGGTGGATGGTTGAATGCCGCTGGGATGCCTCTTGGAAGCCTTTTGGAAGCCTCTTCGGGCGTCTTGGGGGTCTCTTGGCGGTCAATGGTGGCTCTTGGGCGTCTTGGGTGCTTCGGGGGGGCCTCTTGAGGCCGCTGGGGATCCTCTTTGGGGGCTCTTGGGGGCCTGTTGGAGGCCTCTTGGGGCCTCTTGGGGGTCTCTTGGAGCTTCATGGCGGCCTCTGGGAGCCTCTTGGAGGCCTCTTGGAACCATCCTGGGAGCCTCTTGGAGTCTCTTGGGGGTTTCTTGGGGCCTCATGGCGGCCTCTTGGAGGCCTCTTGGGAGCCTCTTGGGGCCTCCTGGGCGCCCTTTGGGGCCATCTTGGAAGCGATCGATCAAAGAAGGGGGGGTCCCTAATTCACCCTGTCCCTCGGGAGCTCCCAAAATAGCCGCCTGGACCCCTCTTGGGGCGCTCTTGGAGCGCTCTTGGGCCGTCTTGGGGCCGTCTTGGGGCCCTCTTGGGCCCCTCTTGGGGCCTCCTTGGCCCCTCTTGGAGCCATGTTGAGGCCTCAGATGGCCATCGGAAGCGAAACGGCGAGAAGCCGACAATCATTGGTTTTCCTTAGGTTTTTTTTATGGATTTTGGCTTCTTGGGGGGCCTCTTTGGGGAGATAATTGGCTTCTTGGAGCTGTCTTCGAGCGTTCTGAGAGCGTCTTGGAGCATCTTCGGAGCCATCCTGCGGCATCTTAGGCTATCTTGAGCCATCTTGGAAGTCATCTTGGACTATCCGAGACGCTCATGGAGCCATCCTGGGCCATCTTGGACACTCTGACCGCTCGCGACCGGGCCCGTCCAGGTCCATGGAAGGGGGTTAGGGGGAGGGGTAAACCCCTCCCCGAAGGGGAAGAAGGGAAGATGGAAGAATAATGTCCTAAACCACCTACGCCCAGAGGGCTGGTGGGATTCTGGTCAACTCGTCCGGGGTCGGTATCGGTATCCGTATGTTGGTCTCCCCAAGAGGCGGGAGCACCCACCAGTTCATCCAGTTCAGCTGTAGGGGTTCCGAGCTGAAGCGATTGCGATCGCAGCAGCAGCGATCCTTCCGCCTGCCCCAGTCAATATTGCGATCAAGTCAAGACAATCAGGCGGACGATGCAAGCACGCCAATGCAGTTGTTGACAGTACCGGGCAGACGTTTCGTCCTTTGCGGGTTCCTTTCTGTTCCAACCCGATTATTCGGGATGTGCATGCAAAAAGGGTATGGGAGCCATGTCTCAGCACTCGTGCCACTACCAAGGCTGTCCGCGGTTCGTCGCGTTCGGTTGCGTAGTTGTCCGTTACGGTTGGTTGGTCCGGCTCGGTCGGTTGCTGTGTCGTTGTCGCGTCGCTGCGCCCTTATAGGCCGCCTGGGTCCTGTCGGCTTCTCGGCTTCGCTGTCTCTTCTTTTGGCTTTTCGTTTTTGCTGTCGCTGTGGACGCCGATGTTGAGGAATCAGGTCGGCATGAGAGGGACGAGGCGACATGGAGTGCCCCAGCTTCGGCCGCCTGTCTACGGCATGGTGCGGAGTCTTTCGCGAGCATGAAGGCACATTTCCGCGCGGTTCATCTGCGAGTCCACGGTCAGAGCTAGTAAAAAGGAGAATGACTAGCTGTCGTTTGCCCCCTTGCGCTCTGCATTGGGCACCCTTGCATCCTCATCCTCTCGCACCTGCGAGTTAGGTCCCTTGTGAACGCAGCCGCCGCCGAGAGAGAGAGAGAGAGAAAGAGAGAGAAAGAGAAAGAGAAAGAGAGTGTCTGTGTGTGTGTGTGCACGCAGGCCGCCGTTCGTCGAGCCTCCTGCGAGGCGCGCCCAGGCGAGGAAGTTCGGCGACATGCCACGGGATTGTTCCCTCGTAAGCACTGAGCCAGACTCCTCGTGCAGATTGCGCAGTTGCGCAGTTGCGACAGTTGCGCAGTTGGCAGCCCCCCAGGGAGCCGCGAGGCTTCAATTGAGTGTGCGTATCCCCCCGCTCCACTGGGCCTCCAAGCAGACCGCGAAAGTAGCGACATTTGCGCAGTTGGCAGCACCACAGGTAGCCGCGAGATCTCGACTGGGTGTGCGTGTCCTCCCGACTCCACGGGGCCTCAAGGCAGCCCACGAAAGTAGCGACAGTTGCGCGGTTCGCGACCCCAGAAGGCAGACAAAGGGTAGGAGGTATGAGACATGAAAGGGAGCAGGAGTCAGGGGGAGGAGGAGAAAGAGATGCGCGACCAGTGCTCTTTTCGAAACGAGAACCCAACGCAGGAGGGTCAGGAGAAACATGCTCCCACGCCTTGCAGGAGGGGGGGCTCAAGGGCCCAGGCTTTGAGATGCGCCCTGCGAATCTATCCAGGGCCGCCGTGGCAGCACCAGGTGCTCAAAACTGAAGTGCCTTAGCCTGGCAGGAGCATCCTGACAAAAACAGAGCGGGTTGCATTCGTGTGATTTTGATTTTCTGAGGCCGCAGCGCTTGTACGTACCCAGAGATACCCCGCAACAAATTGCAACATCATGACACAACTCTACTTACCCGAGCCATGGACCCCATCTGTCTGCGGCATTTTTCGACCCTGACCGATCCGTGAGGGTCCCTGGGCCCGAGACGATGCAAAATCGCAAATTGTAAAGAGGATGCGACACCAGGATCTCAGAGTGGGGCGCTCTGCAGCGCTCCGCAGGGGCCGAGGGCCCTTGAGCTCGGCCTCGCCGCCGAGGTCCGACTGTACGACCCCTCCGCCCCCCCGCGGGCGACCGCGCGCACCAGTGCGAGTGGCGTCCGTGCCTGCGGGCGCCGGCGAGCAGTGAGCGGAGCTGTCTCCAGTCAGCGGGCGAGGAACAGAACGCACCGACCACCTCGCGTTGTGACAGCAAGCGAGACTGGAAGTTGTTGGCGATGTTCGGCCTCCGGGGGCTCTCGTCGGGCCCCGGGCCGTCCGCCAACAAACTATTCGGGCTCGGGTCGAAGAGCTGTTCCCGGGGAACGGGTCCAGACCTCTGGGGAGCCACGTTATGACAACAGAAACGTCGTCTCCAGTCAGCGGGCGAAGAATGGAACATAATATGCTCTGAGATCCTTGCGTCACATTTTTGTTCGGACTGGGCGATTTTGCCCCGCTTCAGGCCCTGGGGCACTCACGGATCGATTCAGCTCGAAAAGTGCCATAGGAAGATGAGGCCTGGGGCCTTGGTCGAGTTTTTGTTGGCGGTATTTCAAGTGTCTCGTGACGACGGATCTCAGGGTGTGCTGGCTGACATTTCAGCCGACTCCATCTGAATTGAAATGTCGCGGTCGGCGTTCAAGGGGAGCGCGACGGGTTCGGCCAAGATTGCAAGATTGGGGCTCTGGAGGGACCCCAGACCCTCGCGTTCCCAGCCCTCGCTCCGATGAATAGCGCCGACGTCGAGGATCTGTGCCCGCGCGCATGTGTTTGTTCCCGCCGTCGGGGACGCCTGTCCCAGGCCGTTCTTCTGGAGAGTGTCTACCCCTGCGGTGGCACGTCGAGGCATATTCTCCCTGGCAGCCCCGGGACGGCCGCCCTTAACGGCGCGGAAAAGTGCAAGGCTATAGATCTTCGTACCGATTTCACGCTATTACCGATCCTCTTCTCGGCGGCGGGCAGGCCATGTCAGAAGGCGGCGAGGCTTCTCAGAAAAGGCCTTGCGCATCCCGAGAAGCCATCTGTGTCTTCGGATAAGACCTGGGACCTATTCCCAGAAGGCCGTAGGCCTTCTGAGCCTTCTGGGAGGGCCCGCCGCCGCTGCCCTCCCTCCTTTGCTTGCCGCCGATCTTCGCATCGTGGCCTCCGTGCGGCTTCGCAGGCTCAAGCCTCCCAACCCCAGGGCACCTGCGTCCCCCCCCTGTTTCGGGGTGCGGGCGGTGCTCTCCCACGCCGCCTGCGGGGCGGGCTTTCCACCCCCCCCCCCTCTCCCCTCTGCGGGTGCCCCAGCTCTGGGGCCATGGTTGCGCCCGCCGTCGCCGACGATGTCACCGAAGAGCGGGAGGCGCGTCGGCGTGAGTTGAAGGCGTGCATGGCCGTGGAGGCCACGGAGGACGTGGAGGCACTGCGGACGGCGCTCGAGGCGTCGGGCAGTGTCCAGGAGTTTCTCATGCTCCTCCCAGAAAGCGAGGTTCCAGGATCGAAGCCCGAGGTGGTCTCTGCTCGCTGGGGGTCGGTTTGGGGGGGCCCGGAGTGTTGCGGGGGCCCCAGCTCATTGAGGAAGTGGCGCTTCCTGGAGGAAGCGGCGACTTCCCCCGTGGTGACCCCCCTTGGCACTGCCTGGAGGCGGCCAAGGAAGTCAGGCTGGAGAAGGAGGACGTGCTCCCAGCCGAGACGCTGCTGCGGAGGCTGGACGGCAAGTTCCAGCCGCTGACGTTCAGCGACGTGTCGCACGCCGACGTTCTGCGGCTGAACGCGGCCAGGTCCCGAGAGAGCGTGGTGGCGATCTTGCTGCAGTGCTTCCGCGTCCAGCTGGAGTCCAGCTTCTTGTCAAAGACTCAGCTGCCCTGACACACCTGTGTTGGATCGCATTACGTACGGTGAGGGCGTTCGTTGAGGAATGTGCCCAGGAGGTTTCGGACCCTGGAGGGTTCCTTGTCTGATGAGGGCGGCGTGACATCACCGGCCAATCCACGATTGGAGTTCCACCAATTTCCAGACCCGATATTCATCATCCAGTGAGTCGTTATGCAATGCCCTCGCCGTACCATACACAACACGTCAGGGTTGAACACGCTGCGTGTTGGCTCGGCACGTGTTGGCCCACGCTTTGGGGAACGTGTCGCGCCGTTTCCAATCCACGTGTTGAGCTCTGTTTATTGCGTATCGGGCCGGCTAAGGTCGGAGATCATCGCCGAGTTCCACTACCACAACTACCTCTTCTGCCAGCGGTCCAGGTGGTGCGCAGAGAAGACGTCCACGCTGCTCTCCCTCATGGGAACCGTCTTCTCCCGGGCGATGGACGGGGAGTGCCCGGTGAAGCAAGCGAGAGCCTTGCTCAACGGGTTGGTCGCGAGGCACAGCAGGCAGCTGCCTCCCTTCAGCCTCGGCGTGTTCTCCGCCCAAGAGGCGACTGCCGTCCGGGAGCACGCAGAGAGGACCCTCTTCCGCCACTACGACATGTATGTTTTCTGCGTTCGGGGCGTGCGCGCTCGGGAGACGGATCTCTGCGTCCGCACCGTGCGACAGCGCGTAGCCAACGAGATGGTGGAGCCCGTAGAGCTGCTGACCTCGCACGAGGCGGCTGCCCCGAAGCCAACCCAGATCCTCACTACTTACCTAGCTGCCCCAACCCCACCCAAAGGTCTCAGATCCCCCCAAATTTCGGGTATAGCGGGTATTTGTCCCATGGTGTTTTCTCAATGCCCTGGAATGTCTCTCCACTGGAACTTGACAGGCCCAATGGCGACTTCGGGTTGGGTTGGGGTGGTGGGAAGTCAGATCCCGCGCCCAGGAGGCTCGTGTGCCAATCTTACCGGAGGTTCCAGCGTGCCAGGGCCGTCTTGTAGGGAAGGTCTCCGACGCCAGCGCCAGGGGCGAAGTCCCGCCCCCGCACCCGCCCCCCCGCCGACCTCCCCCCCCCGGTGGCGGCGGTGGAGCTGGCGTGCCTCGGGGGTGCCGACCGCTCGCCGACGCCCATCTGAGCCAGGCCGATCCTGGGCCTGGGGGTCGGTGGGTGCGCCAGCTTGGCCTGGCCGTTGGAGGCGTGGGCGCCGATCCTGGCCGGAGGCCTATGGCCGGCCTATGGCCTGGCCAGGCCGGGTGCAGGCGCAGGGTCGGCGCCCTCCCAGCTCCGGCGAGGTCCTGTCTAGCAGCATCAACGGCCTTCCCACGCGAACTGGACTGTACTCTGAGAGAGCTCATTCGAAACCAGGCCACTTCCCATGTCTTCCCGGGACTGACAACTCAAACGGTACTGGCCGATCGGCTTCCCCCCTCGGGCGAGGTGAACCCGCGGGAGGTCCCCGAGCTGCAGGACTTGGCGGCGCACACGCCTGGGGCGAAGAGCGGGGGGGCCGGCCTTCTGAGAGCGCTCCGGGCTGCTCAGCAGGGATCGGCCGTTGCCCAGGGCTTCCAGGGAGGATCCTCGGAAGGCAGGAGGGCTGATGAGAGGCCGCCCCCCTCGCCCCGCATATCCCTGCACTGCTCGTGCCTCCCAACCCCAGGAGCCGACCGTAGCGTCCAAGAACGCCCGAAAGGCTCGGTCCTCAGTCGCCCACGACGACCAACATTACATTTCTTTGCTGCCCGTTGTGCATGGCCTTCTTTATTCGCGCGGACAGACGCACGCGACGAAAAGTTCCACAGACACCTGGTCATCATTTTCCAGGCGGTTCCGTCGCCCCACCGAGAGGGGCCCAGTTCACCTGTGGCGATTAGAGCCCGCCTTGCCGGTTCCTTGGCACGAGCTCCGCCTTACAATTGGCGCAGCTGCACGGGACCCGAATTGAAACGATTGCGATCGCGATTCGCCACCTACCTGAGCCACTACCCCGATCGAGTTCAAACAGTCAAGCGAACGATGGGAGCACGTTGTTGCAGTCTTTGTCAGCACTCTGCAGACGTTCGATCCCTTGCGGGGCACTTCAGAGCAACAGTGACTACTGGCCATGTGTACGCAAGATGTGCAACAGCGTTGTCCCAACACGGGTGCCACTGCCAATAGTGTCCGCGTTGCGGTCGGCTTGGCTGCGTCGCACTCGGTTGCCTTCGATCGACTCGTTTCTGTCGATTGTTATGTCGTTGCTGCATCGCTGCGCCCTTCTAGGCAGATTGCGGCCTCGGTGCGGATTTCCTGGACCGGGGTCCAGCGCCGATCCAAGAAGTTCTTGGGGACTTCCAGATTGTCTTCCTATGTTGTCGGCCAGGGCCCATTCTGCGAGCGCTCAGTGCCAGTTGCTTGGACCATTTCGGGCATACATCAGTCGGTGCGTCGCTGCGTGAGGGGGGGCATGTAAGTCTATGCAGATTCATGTCCTTCGGAAGCCATCCCGTGCGCGCCGGCAGAGGACTTCTTCCACGATCCCGCCGCGGAGGCGGCCGCCCGCGCCGCGGCCGAGCTGGAGCAGCGCCGGCTGGCGGAGGAGGCGGCCGCCGCGGCCGCCCAGGCCTCGTGGGTAGGGAGCACGTCCGCGGCCCCTCGGCCGCGATCTCGTGGCAGCAGCAGGTTCCTTCGGCTGCGGCGTGTCCTGGTCTGTGCGGCAGGTCCCCTCTGGCCACGGTGGCGCGGCGGGCGGCCCCAGCGCATGCGCTCGAGGTCGAGCGCCGCCTCTGGCCTGGGCACGTGTGTTGAGCGGGGCCCGTAGTCAAGAGCTCGGGGCCAGCGTCCCCGGATCCCAAGCGATATGCTTCTGCCCAACTTGCGGAAGGTGGTAACCTCTCGAATGTCTATTTTACTTCAGCCAAGTATCGCAGTCATAGTCTCAGCTCTGACGCGTGAAACTCCTGCACAACTTGCGTTTCTCCACCGATTTTGGCCATCGGGAGCTGTTTTCGGGCTACAGACCATCAGCAACAGATCCAGATGGCAAACCTCATGGGTTGACGATTGAAGCATCTGATCCTCGGATGCCTGGGTCTGACGTCTGGTGCTCATGCAGGGCCTTGCGCCCAGCGTCTACATTCGCGACCCTGGACCCGAGGCTGACGACCACTAGCCTGGCGCACCCCTCACACGGATCCGGACCCCGAGGGAGCCGGGTAAATTGTTTTGGCGGCCGTCCAATCAGAACATGAGTTGACTTTGCCCAATGTGGATTGCCTGAGAGTTTCTCAGTGGGTGCCAGGCTTGCGTTGGCCAGCGTTTTTTGGATTGCTAGGTCTCGTTGATTGACTACCCTCCTCGGGTTGTTGGATCTTCTTTCTTGATTGCTTTGCTTGGGTTACTTAGTCTTGTTTCTTGCCCGCATTCCTGGAGTTGCTTGGTCTTGCTTCGTGACTGCCTTCCGCATATTGTTTTGTCTTGTTTGTTGGCTGCTTTCATTGGGTGGCGTGGTGTTATTTCTTGACCACCTTCCTCAGGTTTGCTTCGTCTTTTTTCTGTACTGCACTATTCGGGTTGTTTATTTGTTTCTTGTTTGTCTTTCTTGGGTTCCATGGCCCCAGTGCACTGCTGTCTAGCAGTGCCAGGCAATGCCAAGCACCCCCAAGCAATAAAAGCAAGTCAAACCAATGCCAAGCAATGCCAACCCGTGCCTTGCCATGCCAGGAAGTGCCGAGACTTGCAAAACAATGCCAAGCAACGCCCAGCAATGCCAAGCAATGCCATGTAACGCAAAGAAACGCCAAGCAAAGCAAAGCAAGGCGAAGGTCGCAAGGCAAAACCACGCAATTCCAAGCAACGCACAGCAACGCCAAGCAACTCAAAGCAATGCAAAGCAATGCCTTTCTTGCGGCGTTACTTATTGAAGAAGGTTTGCCCTAGTTGGGGTCGGGTCGGAGTCCTGTCGTTCTAAGCACACACACAAAACGAAACAGTCTGACTTGGGGACCCTCTGCTATGCAGGGCGGCTTTCGCGGATGCCCGGCTCGGAGTGCACCCATGGGGCTGCGCTACGACCCACGGGATCGAGGCCCCGGAGCCAGAAACCGCGATGGCACAAGGAAGGGGAGAAGAAGGAAGAGGAGGAGGAAGAGGATGAGGAGGAGGAGGAGTAGCTGGAGGAGGAGGAGGAGGAGGAGAAGGAGGAGGAGGAGGAGGAGGAACAGATCCGTAGCCATTTGGCTCAAGCCAACGCTGGCTCAAACCATTGGCTCAAGCTGGTTGAGGGACCGCGGCGAATCCCCGACCAGAAGCCCTGCCCAAGGTGGGGAGCCAGAGATTTCGCATCGACCCTGCAGTGTTTCGGTTTCTCGCGCAACGTCCCTGACCTATGGCGGCAGCGCGAAGACCTGGAAGTGCGTTCACTGCAAGTGCGCGAAGACGGAATGGAACTAGGCACGCTACAAACATTGTGGACAGCATTGGAAGTCAACCGCATCGGCAGCCAGTGCAGACGATCATGGGAAGCGCAAGGACAAGGCAGGCAAGGGTCGGGATCAGCCTACTCTTCCTCCTGGTCTGGGTGGGGTCGGTGCTGGCCCCAATCCGCTCCCCTTTGGGAATGTTGCAGGCAGGCACAGATCCAGCTCCCGACCTTTCGATCGAGGATGTACGGCAGCTGGTGGCCCTCGCCAAGAAGTCCAAGTCCAGCGGGTTAGCCTCATACTACGAGCAACTGCTGGTGCTCAAGCACAAACAGCCCTCGGCGCAGCAGAGGACAGACCACTGCTGGAAGGCTATCAAGTCGCTGGAGGTGGGGATCAAGGAGCAGACTGGCGTCATCATGGCCTTGCAGAAGCAGATCGAGGACCGCAAGACAGAACTGCGCGCATCCCTGGACCAGATGGAGGTGCAGGAGAAGCAGTACAGGGACGCAACCACGGAGCCCCATGCCGCTCAGGTGCCGCGGGCTCCAGCAAAGCCCACTTTCCAACTCCAGGACCTGCTAGCAGGTGATGCGACGGGGCGGGAGCTCACTTGCGGAGAAGACCTGTTTGGCTTGGCAGAGCTTCAGGATGCCTGGGATGCGGACCGGGCCGAGGCGAAAGCCAGAGAGGAGGAGCTCAAGCGGCGGTTCCAGGAGACGGCGAAGCAGCTCTACGGCGAGTTCAAAAGCCAAGGCCGAGACAGCAAAGCAAGAGCAGGAGGTGCTGCGTGCGCGCCTGCAGCAGACCAAGAGGCGCCGAGGGCTCGACGAGCCCAGCGCCGCCGCCGCCTCAGACGCCCCGCCGACGGCAGCAGCCGCGTCGGGCGACGGGCAGTCAGAGGCGGCCCAGGACGTGCCAGCACCTGAGGAGGAGGACGTCGCCCTGGCGTCAGAGGACTGCAATGCCCATGCGCTGCGCATCCGCAACCGCGCCATCGCCGCTGAGGGCAAAGGCAAGGGGCCTGGAGCGGTCAGGGGAGGCGAGACCAGCGCAGGACGGCAGCAGTCCCAGCACGGCGCGCAGCCTTGCGGCCTGCGAGACGTCGGGGAGTGCAGTCGCTACGCCGGCGACTGCTTCGCGGGCACCTTCGCGCGCGCGGTCCTGGCCGAGCTCAGCGAAGGCCGAGACCCAGCCCCTGTGGAACTCAGGGGGCGGGAATCGCTGGAGGGCTCGGCCGAGTGCCCCACCGTCGTCGGCTACGAGCTTCACGTGGGTCGGGGTCAAGGGCCGCCTGCCGATGACATCAGGGCCGAGCGACCATCCCGTTAGACTTGGTCGACTGTCACGGCTAATACCTCAGGTTGGGCAGGGGCCGCGGCACTGTTGACGGGCGAGGCGCATCGGCATGGCCAGGTCGCGCGCCTCCAAGAGCGCAGGGCGCTCAAGCCCCAGATTTCGCAGAAAGAGAGCGAGATGAACTCCGATGGCTGAAAGCTGAGATCGACGGGCGCAACCAAGACTGTTCAGGGCGGGGTGTCTTCGGGAGTTGGCCCGGGTGTTCGACGGCACGTCGGTGTCGGGCAGGTGCAGGGGGCTCGAGATCATCTCATACATGCCAGGTGCTTCGTCGTCTGGGTCAACGGGCGCGTGAAAGGGGGCTTCTACGTGGCCACAGTGTACTTGCCAGACGGCGAGGGCGTCTTAGCAGCCAAGGGGAAGCAAATTTTGAACCAGTTGGATGAACTCGCGTTTGCTATCCAGAAGCCATTCGCCATCGCAGGGGCTTTAACGGCCTGCCCTCAGAGGTGCAGCAGGGCCCAGGTGTGTCCAAGACGAGGGGCACCGTCGTCAACTGTAATAAACCGATGTGTCGTGTGGGGAAGTCTAGGAGGGAATGTGACTTCTTCGTCGTTCCCCATGACCTCCGCGATCGCGCGGATGACTCGGCCAACAAGACGCGCGGCCCAGTTCGACTGGTCTTGGACACCGACGCGCACATTAAGATGAAGCGCTGTTTGAAGTTGATCAAGCCGCCCCCGCTTGACAAGCCGATAGGACCGATCCCTGCCCCAAAGGGTTGGATTTATCTAGATGGGTTCTTCGCAGGTTTCAATGCAGATGAGTCGGGAGACACTCTGTCCACTGTCTACGGCCTCCTGTGCGAGCACATGGAGGATGAGTTGTGCGATGTTTTAGACATTGTGGGCCCAGAGAAAAACGATTACACTGGAATGGGCCATGGGTATCGCATTGTCGACGAACCGATCCTGGAGCGCGCCCATGGGCCGCATCCAAAATATTCGAAATCAGCTCGGGCGGTTCGAAAGTACCAGGTGTGGTTAGAGGAACTTCGGTATCTCAGGAACCGTGGGCACTCTTGTGATGATGATGGAGTTCGCGATCTCGTTCGCAAGCTTTGACGGGTTCACCCTAACGTACAGGGCGTCGCAGGATGGTGGGCTTTGCGTCGCCCGCTGCGCGCCCGCCTGCCGCGGGGCGCGGACGAAGCCCAGCTCGAGGAGCTGCAGGTGGCCGCTGGGGCCCTCGCTGACCAGGGGGGGGGGGGGGGGGGGGCAAACTTCGGAGCACGAAAGAGTGGATGTATTGGTTTGCATAGTCTCTGGGCTATGGGGAAAGGAGCCACATATCGGTGGGCAAAGGGTCCGCGTGGATGGGGCCCCGACCCTGAAGGACCTCAGCATGGGCCCTGGACCCGCGGGCGCGGCTGATCAACTGCTCAAGGAATGGGAAGACATGCGGCAATTTGGGGACGCCCAGAAGTTTCAAGCGTCTGGCCTCCGAGTCATGAGCCCCCAGCGGCGCCGACGGCAGACCAGCTCCGCCAAGCCCTTGAGAAGTTCAAGAGACACATATTGCAGTCGGAATCGGCTCGACGGGTGAAACCCGAAGGTGCTGCTGTACCTGGGCGACAGCACCTTAACAGTTGTTTTCCCTACCTGGGCTCTGCCTAGAGGCGTCTCGCTCTGTTAGCTTAAAGAGGTCGGGCAGTGTTAATCGCCCTGGGCGGTTCCCCCAGGATCCGCCCCGCGGTCCCCCCAGATGCGCCCCCTGGGTTCACCCAGCTTAGCTAAGCTAAGCTAAGCTAAGCTTAGCTTAGCTTAGCTTAGCTTAGCTTAGCTGGTCTCATTTTAGCCTAGCCCAGCCTAGTTTAGCTTAGCTTTGCGTAGCTTGGCTTAGCTTAGCTTAGCTTGGCTTCGCTTAGCTTCGGTTAGCTTACGTCAGCTTAGCTTGGCTTAGCTTGGCGTGGCTTAGCTTAGCTCAGCTTAGCTTAGCTTAGCCTATCCTAGCTTAGCTTCGCTTAGTTTAGCTTAGTTTAGCTTAGCATAGATTAGTCTACCTTAGCTTAGCTTAGCGCAGCGCAGCAACGCGCAGCGAAGCATTAGCACATCATAGCATAACATCGCCATGCACAGCATAGCATAGCATCGCCATGCATAACATAGCACATCATCGCATATCATAGCATAGCATATCTTAGCATAGCATAGCATATGATAGCACAGCATAGTATATCACAGCATACCATATCAACAACAAGAGCAGAATCAAACGCGACGGCAACAGCAACGGCACTATCAAGAGCAAAGGCAATGCAAAGCAACACCAACACCAATGCGAACGTGTAGATGTAGGTGTACGTGTAGATGTGGATGTCGGTGTAGATGTAGATGTAGGTGTAGATGTAGATGTAGGTGTGTATGTAGGTGTATATGTACATGTAGATGTCGATGTGGGTCTCGATGTTGATGTTGGTGTAGATGTAGATGCAGGTGTAGATGTACATGTAGCTGCCGGTGTAGATGTAGATGTTACTTTCCTAACTGCTCCAACTCCTAGGTCGGGTCGCACTGGGATAAGGGTAAGTTCTCCATAGGAACCCATTTTCTGATCCCAGAGCAGCGTGACTTGTCGCTGGTAGCATTCCTCAGGAAACCAGATGGCGGGCACCGCCCGATCGGAGCGCTGGCGACGTGCATCCGTATAAGTGGGAAGACCGAGGAGGAAAGAGGCACCGCAATGGGAACAGGGGGCATGCTCTGGATTATATATGGGGCGAAAGGAGGGAGTTGCGAGAGGGCGGCGCGGCAGCAGGGAATGGGCGCTGAGGCTGCTTAGGCGATTGGGGCTAGCACTGGGTCAGGGCTAATCGACATGGAAAGTGCTATGAGGTGACCCCGCATGGCGTCGTCTGGAGAGCTTGTACCAAGCATCGATTCAACCTGCGCCGCGCCCGCTTGCTCTTGCAAGTCTATGGGGGCCTTCGGAGGCTGACGGTACGCGAGCGTGTTTCGCCCGTGCTGGCCATCGCGCGCTCGATTATTGCAGGGTGCTCCTTTGCCACAACCACGTTGCGGATTGTGATCCATTGTGCGCCCGTGTACATGAAAGAGTGATGGCCCTCCCTCTCCCTGCGTGCGATGGTGGATGCTATTGCGTTGTCGCTGGTAGGTTCGGCAAATGGAATCCGGGTTGTCTTCGGCAAAGCCATCCCAGACCTGCGCAGACAATTTGAAAGATGGGGTTGGTAGTTCCCAAGAAGAGGTGCCAGACTATGGCGTCCAGCCCGCAGGTTGCAGAGCAGCTGGGCAAGGCGATCAAAGGGCATCGGTTTAATGTCTGTGCTGCGGCGAAGAACCTCGGGCATGACTTCAGTCAGCCGCACAGGAAAGGGAAAAAGGTTCCCCAGCAGCGGATTGCGAAACATCGCCGCAGAGCGCACAGGTTTCGCGCTCTGAAGCATCACGGGCGCGGTCTGGCACGGGCATACAGGGGGGGGGGGGGGGATTGCTGCAGCCGCGTACGGAGTAAGGGTCATGTGGCTGTCGGGTAAGGATTTGAAGGGTCTCCGTGCCTCGTTTGCCTTTGCTCTGTTCGGGAAGGCCACAGGAAGGTCGAGAGCTGTGCAGTACCTCCTGGCGGATCCGCCAGACCTTGATCCTGCTTGTTTGGTCAACGCGTTGCCATTGACCACGTGGCCCCTAGCACTGCGACAGCGCTGGGTGCCAGAGAATGTCATGCACTGTATTTTCGAAGCGGCCCTGGAACGAGAAGTCCGAGGTTGGGCGGCGGTCCAGGGGCCCGCAGGTGTCGTCGTTCGGGCCTCGCGGCGTCTTGGGTGGAAGGCACGGCTCTGCGTCCACTGGACTGGCCCCGAGGGCTCGACGTGGACCCCGAGATCACCAGCATGCCTGATCTGAAGACGGCCATTCGCAGAGGAGTTTGGTGGCAACGGGAGGAGACGGCGGCGGCGCATCTTGGGCGGAAAGGGCGTCCATGTTTCGATCATGTAAAAAATGAGCTTCGGCAACTCAGGGGGCAGGGCGGACACATGAAGGCCGACCTGATTGTAGCGCGCATGTCTGGGGGCATGCGGGCTCAGCAGAAGGTATCTGATGAAAAAGGTACCCGGTGGATAACATGCGCAGCTGGGGCAAGGCAATGCCAGGGGCGATTTCGCATGGGCTCTATTCCTGCGATGGGCTTGCCAGCTGGAGGCGAGAGCAAGGGTTCCAGGAGCTCGCAGGCGTGGGCCTCGAATTTTCGAACACGCAGCTTCTCGACTATGGCGTCGTGGACTTTTTCCGGGGAGAACTTGAGCCCCCCCTCCAGGCTTCTGAATGTAAGGCGCGCTTCAATCCTCCCAATGGAAGGCTTACCCCGACCCCGTTCGTCGATGGATCTGGGCTGAACCCCGGCGTTGAATGGATGGCGCGCGCGGGCTGGTCTCGTGTGTCTCTGAAGCCTGGGGGAGCGGGAGTCTGTGCAGCAGCTTGCAGCCCTGCACCAACCATTGCGCAATCGTCAGGGCACGCCGAGCAGTACGCTCTCCTGCAGGCGCTGTACCTGGCAACCTCCTCCGCCGTGACGATCGCCACGGACCATCAAAACATCATCAAGGGCCTCGCGAAGGGCCCTGACATCATGTGTGACCCAAAGCAGTCCTTCTCTGATGTGCGGCGCCTCATCTTCTAGATGTTAGGGGGGGGGTATAGGGGCGGGCGACGTGGAGATCTTGTAGGTGCCCTCGCATAGATCCAACACGTGGCTTAGGAACCATGGGTATCCCGATGAATGGCATGTAGGGAAATAGTGCGGCTGATAACTATGCTGGGCTAGGAGCTATGGGACACCCCGTGTCCTCTCGAGTTGCTCAGCGCGTACAGGCGGCTGAGCAATTAGGGAGGCAAGTGGCTAGGCTTCTTCGACGGGCCCTCAAAAGCCTCGCTGGTCTTGGATTTCCTGATGTAGAGCCTCTGCAGAAGGCCCAGATTAAGTCTGCCGCCTCAAAGGATGCCGAGCCTGTGATGCAGTTACGGCTAGCCCGTAGCGATAGTGGGCACCTCCTTCATGTCTCAGCAGGCGTGTGGGGGCGCCGAATGCGTGGCAAGCATGGCAACAAGAGATCCGCTGTAGTAGAGTTTCCATGTCCTGGTCTGCCAAGGGTCTTGGCCAGAGCGCACGAGACCCATCGGATTTGGAGGCTTGGAGACGACTAATATTTCTGTGCGAAGTGCGGCCGCCACGCGAGGAAACAGGTCAAGGACCTCGCCTCGCGCTGCGGCCCCCCAACAGTGTCAGGAGGGCGGTCCCTCCGCAAGCTGAGGCCGGGCAGAGATCCGTCCAGCGGTGTGGAGGTGGGTCCCCCGTTCCCTGTGCACGGACTTTTCCCTTGCAGGCCGTCTTGCTGCGCGGGACGGAGTTGTCTGATGCCCCAGAGGCCCCAGAGGAGGACGAAGAGGAGCAAGAGGAGGATGAAGAGGGACGAGGAGGAGGAGCAGGAGGAGGAGGAAAAGGGACGAAAACGCGAGGGTACGGATGTGGCCACGCCCGTCGCTCGCGAGAGGACCCCGTGGAGGACGGCCCCGAGGCGGAAGTCGCCGCCGCGATCGACGCTGCCATGGCGGACCACGTCGGGGGCCTCGAGGCCCGCTTCGCCGCCGCGCCAGAGGCGGTTCCGTGACGGCCGAAGGCGTGAGGTCGAAGAAGGAAAGCTGCATCAACATAAACTGTCGTATCGGCGGGGCGAGCGAGGGGGGAAGTGAGAAGGAGAAGGCCTTCTCAGAAGGCGGGGAGGCTTCTCAGAAGCCCTCGGGCCTTCTGAGAGGTTTTGTGTGTCTTCGGGGAAAGCTCAGGCATCTTTCCAGAAGGCCAGGGGACTTCCGAGCCTTCTGAGAAGGCCCAGTTCCCCCCCTCGCTCGCTACTGAGTGTAGCTCCGCGCAGACTTCTTGGATCGGCGCTGGAACCCCTTGGCGGTGCCCCTGGCGCGCCGTGCGACAGGGAGGGGGCCCAGCACAGATCCGATAAATCTTCGTGGGGCTCCGAAGGTTCATGTTTACGCAGCTTGTTGTTCCTCTGATGAGCGGCGCGCGGCGAGGATTGCCTTTCACTTGCAACGGTTAGCGCGCGCGCTGCCGCGCGTGCAACATGCGGGGAGTGCCTGGCGCGAGGTTGCACGGGGAGGGTTGGCTTCCCCGTGCCAGGGAGCTGTAATCTGTCATTTGCTGGAAACCCGGCCTCGGGAGCCGCAGCACACTGCCAGGGGCACCTGGTATAATTGATCCCCCCCCTCCACCGGATAGGGCCTCCCTGGAGCTTCCACAGAGCCTCCCCGGAGCTTCCCCGGCCACCCCAGAGCTTCCAGATAGGTTCCACATGGGTCCCAGACGGGCCACTGTGGCTTCCGGACGGCCCAAGAAGCGCCCAAGACGCCCCAAGACGGGTCCAAGCGGACCGTCAAGAGGGCCCAAAGAGGCAAAACTACATCCTTTCTTGTAGGAAGACGCGCATCTCTAGCACATTCGCTGTTTTCATGCGCGCAGCGTCCAAGACAGCCCCAGAGGCCCCCAGGAGAGCCCCCAAACGGCTCACGATTCCCAAGGACCGCCCAAGACGGCCTCAAGAGGGCCCCAAGAGGGACCTGGGGGGGAAATCGAACCCACATTTCGAAGCCAGACGACCCCGAAGACAGCCAGCAGGCCTGCAAGGACCCCCCCCGAGAGGGCCCCAAGACGCCTCAAGACGGCTCCAAGAGGACCGTCAAGAGGGCCCAAAGGGGCAAAAGTCGCCCCTTTACGTATTAGGTCACCGCACATTTCCAGCACATTCTCTGTTTTCATGTGCGCAGCGTCCAAGACGGCCCCAGAGGCCCCCAGGAGAGCCCCCAAACGGCCCAAGACGTGCCCAAGAGAGCTCCAAGACGGCCCAAGAAGCACCCAGGACCACCCAAGACGGCCCCAAGATGGCCCTGGGGGGGAATTCGACCCACATTTCGAAGCCTCCGCCCCAAGAGGGCCCCGAAGGTCGCCAGCAGGCCCCCAAGGACCCCCCCCGAGGACGCAAGGGGGCCCCCAAACGCACCAAAATAGCTCCAAGATGACCGTCAAGAGGTCCGGAAGAGGCGACAATCGCTCCATTCCTTCAAGCAAACGTACGTTTGTAGCACATCCGCTGCTTGTGCACAGCACCCCCCCAAACAGAGCCTTAAAACGGCCCGCGGGGAAGGCCCAAGGGATTTCCGAATGTGGGCTCCGGGCCCCTCCAAGACTCTTTTCAGGAGTGCGGATTGCGGCTTCGAGGATTCGATTCGGCAGAGGACTTGAGGACACGCCCACTCCGTGCTCAGAGGCACGGTGGCGGATTCGTGCACCACCTTCTTGAGACGCCCCGCATCCCCGTGCACGAGGCCCGGTCGCCCGGGGCCCGGGGCTCGGGGGGGCGTGGGAGGACCGGGGCCTTTGGGGCCCCCCCGAGACAGCCCCTGACAGCCCCGAAACGCCACCCGAGGGTCCCAGGAGGCTTCCAAACGTCCAAGAGAGCTCAGAATCCCCGAATCGTCGCCTCAACACGCCGAAGATGGCTCCAAGACGGCCTCCGGGAGCCCCCACGACGGCCCAAGCGTTCCCCAAAAGGACTCCCAAGAGCGCCTCCAGAAACAAAAATAGCCGCTTCCCTTTGGGAAACGTATATCTACGATATTCACATCTTCGGCGTCGACCGCGTCGAAGACGGCCCTGGGAGCCGACAAGATCGCCCCAAGACGGCCAAAGAGAGTTCCAAGAGGCCTCCGAGAGGTTCTGAGAGAAACCCAAAGCCGTTCGGGCGGACGCGCCCGCACGTTCAGTGTTTACCGCCTGTTGTACCAGAGGGTGCACAAAGCTGAGATGCCCATTGCACGGCAGTTAGTCGAGGCCCGGCTGGCTGCCCGAGGGCTGCGGTGGCAGCTGGTGCAGTTCGCCTTGTCCGGCATTCCCTCCATTGTGCCGGGCGAGCATCGGATTGCGTTCATGCGACGGTTGTTAAATGGTGAGATGACACCGCATGGTACCCGTGTCAGGCAGGGACGTGTTACCATGCCCTTTCTGCCATTCGCTTGCCAGCGATAGCGTTGCGCATCGTGACGCTTGCGTGGCTGTGCAATCCCTGCGCAACAACTTGTCTCCCGAGCATGCTCGGTCTCCTACTATACTCCTCCTCCTCCTCTTCCTCGCCTGCTCCCCCCTCCTCGTCGCGAGTGCCCTTGTTTTCCTTCCGATCCTCCTGTTGTTCTCCTCGAGTGCACGTGCCCCCTTTTGCCTGCGTCTGCCGCAGCGCACCAGCTTGAGCGGGGCCGCGGGGGGCCAGCGCTGGCAGGGCTCGGGCGATGTGCAGCCGAGGCCGAGGAGGAGGAGGATGGGGATGAGGAGGAGGGGGGCGGAGGGAGGAGGAGGGGGATGTCGAGGAGCAGGGGTGAGGACGAGGACGAGGGGCACACTGAAGGACGAGGATGAGGAGCAGGAGGCTGCTAGGAGGCTCGCGGAGAAACATACGATCGGAGGCCATTCAACCCCAATGCTGCACACATCATGGCCTGCATGGCATGCTGATTGTTTTCGCATGCGCGCAGTCGGCCCTGCGCTCTTCTCGAATCCCGTGCCCGTGCACGGCCGCCGTGCACGCTTCGCAAACCGTGCATTCCTTTGTACTCGTCGATCCTCCTCCTCGGGCCGTCCTCTCCTCCTCCTCCTCCTCCTCCTCCTCCTCCTCCTCCTCCTCCTCCTCCCCCTCCTCCTCCTCCTCGCCCCCGTCCTCGGGCTCGTTCTCGGATCGATCGCCATCGATTGTCGCCGTCGACGCTGCTAGCGGCAACTAGCGGCAACCCTCCCCAGCATAATGCCGAGGAATTGATCGGGACCCCGCTCACGTTGCCCCTCACCTGCGCGCACGGCCTTCCTGGTCATCCTTATCCTCCCCCTCCTCCTCCGCCTCGCCTCCTCCTGATCCACTTGGTCCTCCTGGTTCTCGAGGATCGATCCCCCTGGTCTTCCTGATCACCCATCCCCTTACATCCTCCCCCTCACCTCCTCATCCTCCTTTCCCTCCTGGTCCTCTCGCGTCCAGGTCCTCCTCTTCCTTGCCCGTTTCGAATTCCTCCTCATCGATCCTCCTCCTCGACCCGCATGCGCTCCCCCCCCCCAACCCCCACTGTGAGAGTCAAAGGTTGACGAGCCCAGACGTCGAGCCAAGGTTGGCGCATTCACATTGGGCCATGCGCAAATTCGGACACATGCCTCCTCATCCACTCCTCCTCCTCCATTCCTCATCTATTCCTCCTCCTCCTCATTCTCCCCCATCGTATCCTCGCTATCTTCCTCCTGTCTATCTCTCTCGTCCTTCTCGTCCTTGGCGCCCTTCTCACTCCCCCCCTTCCTCCCCCTGCCCCCCCCTCAAATTGGCACAAGGCGGCCTCATACATACTCGCCAACGTTGGCCGATGAAGTGCTCGATGTCGTTGCCAGCGCCTCCCAACGCGATCTATGGAGTAACGTCTGCAACATGCATGTCATCAACCAGAGAAGCATCTCCCGAGAACTGGCGTGGGCAGGACATTCTAAGTGTATACAACACCGCGCATATATAAGTGAGGACAGAGCGAACGAGAGAGACAGGGGTACAAGAATAGTTGTACATGAGTCGCCACGTCTTTCCTTATACGCTACCTCCTCCTCCTCCACCTCTGCCTCTTTCATCCTAGCTACGGCCTCCCTGAAGGCCTCGCATGTTCTCATCCCTCATGCTCCTCATCATCCTATTATTCCTCAGGTGTGCCCCCCCGAGATCCTCATCCCTCCTCGTGGCCAGTGAACTCGCATTCTGGAGTCGCCCCTCTTTCCTTCGAAGCCCCTCTTCCTCAAGTATTATCCTCCCCATCCTATCCTATCCCTCCTCCTCATCCTCCTCAGCCTTCTCAGTTCCCCCTCCTCACCCCTCTCACCCCCTTCTCCTCAGCCACTCGTTCTCAAGCATGCCCCCATGGAGGCGCCTAGCCCCCAACGCTGATCTCCGACGCCAGCGCGTACTTCTTGATGCTCTTCGCGGTCGCCTTGCAGTACATCGACTTCTGGACCAAAGTAGCAGATCATGTTCAGCACGTATAAGCTCATGCCGTGCCTGTCCATCTTGAAGTTCTCGAGCTGCTGCTCCGACCACTCCTTGTTGGACACCTGGATGAGCTGAACCCATGCCGAGTACCCGCCCTCGGGGTGGAACGGCTTGTTCCTGTAGGCGATGGTGTGGTAGCCCTCGGACGCGCGGCCCCTGTACTGCAGCTGCACCACCCAGGGGATACTTCCTTTACTAGCGGGAGTCAGGCGTTAATCCATGATCGACGTGCTCTGCGGAATCTTCCACCGATACGCTCGGTGGATGAGGCATTCATGGAAAGCTGCAGGCAGAAAGATACTGTTCCAAGTAGTAATCATACACTCAAGCAGCTTAGTAAATGCCTCAGCAGGATCTGCAGACACGCGCCTGACAGACCACGCAATCCAGTGTGGAGCCTTGAGACGTTCGACGATCGTGATGGATGGATCAATCTCCATGAGCTCGCACACGAGTTTCCGCGGCACAACGGACGTACGAGACAGGACGGGTACAACCCGAGAATGGATGGGGCCAAGATCATCGCCGAGACCTTCTACAAAAGAACGGTGGACCAGATGGCTGCCATCATGATGGCGATCGTCCACGTCCGCGAGGCGGACGGTGAGGAGAAGCAGCGTCTGCAGTTCAAGGCCCTGGTGCGAGATTCTGGCACGTCCGATATATTCATCCGTGCCTCGCAAGGGCACTCGTGGACGCTCAAGGCCCCTTGGTCGTTGTTCAAGTACATTGTACTGCACGACAATCCTGCCGGGAGACCGGCCCCATACCCCGAGGTTGCCATGCACGGCGCACGGTGGGCAGCCTTCGAGGGCATCATGTGGCATGGCCTTTCCTGTCGCAAAGAACACAACACCAAGAAGAAAGGGACTGGCCGATCACGCATCCACTTTGTTCCGACGCTTCGTCGTCGCGGCGTGCAGAGTGGATGGGGCCCCGATTCTGAGACCGTCATCTTTGTGGACTGGCACCAAGCCCTGAAGGGCGGGATCGACTTTTGCTGGTCCGATAATGGGGTTCTCTTATCAGAAGGAAAAAAAAAAGGCATTATTGAGCCGTATTACATTACATACGTGGAGGAACTCTCCACAGGAAAGCAATGGCGGAACCCAGAATATATGGGTAGTCGCCGTGCACGCGTTTCCACTGCCATAATGACGGCACCGAACAGGTGGAAAACTGTTGGCAGTGCTAGTATTATGCGCAGATGGTCTCTTGACCGAGATGCTAATGAGCCTCATACGGTTTATGGTCAAAGAGAGGTAGGGGGGCCATTACAGCCCAACAGTGCTGGGAAACCAGCCCGAAATCCACCATATCCCCATGATCAACGAGAGCGAGGCAAGAAGCGCGACTCCAAGCCGTGCTCCAAGCCAAGGGCCTAGTGCCACATCTTGGCAGGTCCTCAGCACCTCGGATCTGGATCAGATCGCGGCTGCTCTAAATCCTGAGCAGGTGGAACAGCTAGCGGACAGACTGTGCCAGCAAGATCCCTGGGCCGCAGGTCAGGGAGCTATGTCCGCCATGGCGACACGCAACCGCCAGGCCGCGCAGGGAAACCTGCCCGTTGGTGGACTCAGAAACGACATGCCCGAACCGCAGGGAGACCCGCAAACGTTCGGCCGCATCTTCGGAGAGCCCGCTCGATTCGAGCAGATGCCAGGGAGCCCCTCGCATAGCATGCACACACCGAGGGGCATGACCCCAGTGGCGACACCACCAGCCCAGTCTCCGTTTGGGACTCCTGGTCGATCTGCCACGAATGGCACTCTCATGGAGCGGATTGCCGCGGCCTGAGCTGAGCATGGCACAGCTCTTTTGAGCATGATGCCACCGGGCGCGCCAACGAGTCTGCAGGGAAACCTGCCTGGTACTCCAGTACACCACCGACCTTTTGCTGGCCAAAACACTGCTGCTGGAGTGCCTGATGATTACCGCGCAAGGGTGGCAGCTGCGGCACAACAGGTGCAGAGTCACAACCTGCCCCACCCGAGCGGTCAGAGGTGGAGGCCAGCCTGGTCCTGGGAGCCAGAGGGTCCGAATCCACTTGACCCTGCTCGGCAGCGAGCCTTTATCCCGGCCTTCAATGCTCATCCGAGCATGGCTCAGGGCCAGAGGCCAGCGCCAGCACCAATGGATCCGCCACTGTACCCAGACGGGTCTAGAGTCCCGAGCAGATTTGTTCGCGAGACTGCGGATCAGTTTCATAGCCTCACGAATGTGCGCTGCAGTGATCAGTCCATGTACCCGCACATGGCTTTCATGCCTGCACCGACGACGCCAGAGGTGGCCGTCCAGTCTACTGCCCACTCGATATCATCAGGCAGTAGGGGAGTACCAGACTACATCAGGCAGACGTACCACATTCAACAGGCGTGTTTTAGGCGCAGGCAGGCGGCGCAGAGTGCACGTGACCAAGCACGCGCAGCCGCACTTGAAGTCGCGACTAACAGAGGCTCACCCATGCGAGGAAACTCGCCAGCCGTGTCGCCCGCAGCCTCCACAGCGGCAGCTCCTCCAGCAGTGGTTGCCGTAGCGCCGAAGGTACTGGCCCCCGCAGGAGATCATCCAGCTGCTTTCCTGGGCTCCGAAACGGTCCTGGAGCGGCAGCGGCGGGTGTGCCCTAGGGCGGCAGACGTGGAAATCTATACTGGGATGGAAGACACCTGCGCGGTATGCCTCTAGGAGTTTCTGCCGAGGGAGAACATCTACCGCTTGAGGTGCAACCATCTGTTCCACGAGGAGTGCTGGAACTCGAATGTGGTGGGCCATGTTGCGAATCAGCGAGAAGGAGATCCTCAGCAACCAGTATGTGCTATTTGCCGAGCGCCAGGTATCATAGCGCCATCGTTCCCACGGACCGGCTCCGTCACTCAGGCTCCCGAACAGGCAGCGAGGGAGCTGCGAGAGTTGAGGGGCATGGCGGAGGAAATGACAGCCAGTATGTTAGGCAGGCAGGCAGACAGCACAGTCCCAACAGCGGGGACACCCGCCGGAGGAGGTGAGGACGCCGATGGAGACGGGATACTTCGACCAGCTTATCCCGATGACGGCGCCACAGCAGGGAAACCTGCCTAATACCCCACCTGCGCCGATCCTCCCGACTCATTACGAGCCTGGAGTCGGGCAGGTGGCTCCTCCGATGTCACCCCAAGGTTGGGGTGGGACCGAGCTGCCACTAGACCCTGAACAGCTGCGAGAACTGCGTGTTCGCCACTTCCAGACCCAGATGGAC